GGTCCAGGTACGGGTACGGGTAAAACCCGATATATTAAATCGGGTACGGGTACGGGTACGGGTATATACTTACCCGCCCCGTACCCGTACCCGTCCTCGTTCTTATTTTTAATTTAATATTCACTTTCAATTTAATTATATTAAAAAAATTTAATATTTTTTATGTGTAATTATTTATTATAATATGAGATAAAGAAATAACCTAATTATAATTATAATATAATAAAAAACATAATTTAAAAAATATCATTTTTTTTACAAAAAATAAAAAATAAAAAAAATTGACGGGTACGGATACGGGTGTATGAAGTTGGCGTTCTGGAACGGACCGTTTTGAATCCAGAACGACCCGTTCTGAAAATAGAACGGCACGTTCTGGTTCCAGAACGGACCGTTCTGATGTACTCGTGGGATGTTAATTTTGCATCTGGAACTGCCTGTTTCAGATGCAAAATTAACACACGAAGAATGCACCCAGAACGGCCCGTTCTGGTTTCAGAACGAGACGTTCTGGTTCTAGGTGTTTTCAAGAAAATTGGCATCCACGTGGCATCCACCTATGCATCTACGTGGCATCCACGTGGCCAACAGTTAACTCTGTTTAAATAATTTGGACGGAAGTCCGACATTGCAACTAATTAATTTATTAGGGACCAAATTGAGATAAAAAATAAAAGTGAGACTAAATTGAAACAAACAATTACTATAAGGAACCAAAATAGGTTTTTAGACTTTTTTTTAAAACATGCGAGTGTCAGGATCAACATATTTTAAATTTAAAATAAATTTTAAAGTGAGAATTTTCAAAAAAAAAATTATATTTTAATAAAAAATATTTTAGAGATAAAACTTTAAAAAATTATATTTATATGTATTTTAGATATGAATTTTTTTTAGAAAAAAATGACTTTTAAATTATGAAAATTTAGAGAAAAAGAATATAAATATTATCATAAAATATATATTTTTCAATCAGAACTAAAATGAAGATTTTGTTGACTTGGGACTTAGACCGACCTTGATAGATACAATTTTTAAAATAAAGAAGAAAACTATATAATTTAAATGAAAGTATAATTTACCTAAATATTTATAAACTACATAATTTATAATAATGATAATAATAATATTATTATTGTTGTTATTATTATTATTATTAAAATGCAAATTAAATATGAATAACGAAGTTCAATAGTTGTACGTACCTTCAAATTCTTAAAAATATCTTCATCTGAAGAAAGATTCAAACCAGTATTATTCTACTTTTAATGAGAAAAAATATGCACGTGAAGAATTGTTTTGCAATCCTTAACAACCCATATTTTAATCATTATCATCTATTGTAATAGCAAATGTTTCAATCATTAAGTTGACTTATCTTGATTACCATCTATGCATAATTGACCAGTACGTATGTACTATGGGGAAGAAAGTAATAAACCATTTCCCAATCATATACATGAAGTTAAAGAACTA